GTGCATGATAGATCGAAAGAAGACCAGAGGAGATGGGCAGTTGATGTCCTACGCCGAGATGTACGAGTCGCTGGTGGTCATTCGGCGCCAAGGATGGTTGCCGTTGAGTGTGCTCTGTTTGTTATGGAGACGGAAAGGAAAAGCTCAGGCATTGAAAGTGCTGCACGAATTCGTGGAGGCCAGTCTAGTAGAACGAAAGGATGGAGTGTCAAGTGGTCGCAAGATCGCCGGAGTCAGGTTGCACGATTTGCAGCTCGATTACGTGCAACAGAGATGTGGGAATGGGGGAGAGAAGAGGTGGCATGAAAAGCTTGTGCAAGAATGGCAATGGAACGAGAGTGAGAACAGGCAAGAAGCGCCGCCGTGGGTTTGCGGGAGAGGGTGGAAGAAGGATATGGTGGAGGACGAGTATTTCCGACACAACTTGTGCCGCCATCTCAAGGGGGCGCAGCTGGGCGAGGATTTGTGGGATGTTTTGAGTGATGCCAGGTGGGTGGCAGAGAAGTTAACTCGGGCAGAGGGGCTAAATCTTCAAGAGGATTTCAAGATTTTGACAGACGTGGCCGGGGAAGACGGAGAACGGTGCGAAGCGGGAGGCAGGCTGTGGTCGTTGCAGAAGATTGCTAGACAGGCGAGGCTGAGTGCGTCCTTTGTTCGTCGAAGTTCGAGAGAGGTATGGTTTCAGCTGTACGATGGTCTGTTGAGATTTAGGAACGAGTCGGAAGTAATTGGAGAGTTCTTACGCAGGATAGAGGAAGTTGCGGAGAAGCCGTGGTTGAAGTCGCTTACACCTGGCTTGAACGTATCAGGCGCGGTGCAACACATATTTCCGGACCAGTGGAACGTGGTGGGAATGTCGGGATGCGCAGCTAAGAACGAAGTGATCGCTTGGGGGGGAATGAGGAGGCATCTGTTTCGTCGGACATTCCGGGACGGGGAAATGGAAGAAAACGTGTTGTTTAAAGTGGCACGGGGTGTGAGAAGGTTTTGGTCGGAGAACGGAAAGTACGTAGCGGTAGAACAGGCAGATAGAACAAGCTTGCAGGTGTGGGATATGCATACAGGAGCTACAGCAAAGCGAGTCGGACAGGAAGTGGATGTAGGGCACCTGGATGTAGAGAGTTACAGTCGCCCTTTTGACTTGACGGGGGATGGAAAGCGAGTAGCGTTTGGGAGAGAAGATGGTGTGGTTGTGTTGTGGGATGTTGAGAGAGGTGTGAAGATCAAGGAGGCAGCGAATATGCGGGGCCATGTTGTTAAGAAAGTATCGCTTTCACCGGGCGGGAAACGGTTGGCGTGCACGGGAGAATGCGGCTCAAACGGGTCAATTTTGATACTGTGTGCAGAGACAGGGGAGATGGTTCGGGTGATTGGTTTGCCGAGTATTCAACTAGCCGACTTCGATCGGACCAAGTGGTTGATTTCGTGGTCGAAGAATGGAAAGCGGGTCGCGTGCGTGTTCCAGATGGGACTATATGAAGCAAGATTGTGGATCTTTGACGGGGAGACTGGTAGGAGTATCGCGGAAAGCGCGCCTTTGAAAGACGTTCACTGTCTTTCATGGTCGGAGGACGGGACGCGGTTGTGCTGTGGCGAGGCATGTCGCAAGCAGAGTGGCGGCGAGCAGGGTGTGGTGTCGGTATGGGACGGACGCTCGGGGAAGAGAATATCGAAATTTGATGATTTTTGGGCAACGGCAATATCTCTGTCCGGGGATGGGAGATGGTTGGCTGGTTCCAGTGGCGGGGAGGTTTCTGTGAGGGACACAGAGACCGGGGCAGAAGTACGGCGGCACATGGCGACACGCGGGCCGGACGTCTTGGGCTGGCTAGAAGATGGAAAGCGGATGTTTTCTGCGGATGTTTCCAATATTGTCATTTGGAGGTGGGATAATCTGGAGAGGTTGCAGGAGGAAGAGGAAGTCGACAAGGTCAACAAGGAAGGGCAAGAATTCACGGCTGTTGCGTGGTCAAGCGATGACATATGTGCTACTGTGGCTGGAGACGGAGACGTAGTGATGTACGATGTGAAGACGGGGAAGAAGATGTGGGGGGATGCTGAGACACACGTAAGCCGTGTGCATTGTCTGGAGATGTCTAGAGATAGCAAGCGGGTGTTTACGGCAGCAGAAGATGGAACGTTTGCGATGTGGGACAGCAAGACGGGCGACAAGTTGTGGGAAGGCGGGGAGGCCTGGGCCAAGGATGATTACGCAGAAGCAGAAGCATGTTGGTCCAATGATGGGACGAGGGTGTTCGTGTCGTTTAGAAGGGGGATGGGGTTGTGGGACGGGAAGACTGGGAACAAGTTATGGGAGAGAATCACGGACACCTACATGTGGACCGGGTGCATGGCGTGGGCTGGAAACGACACGAAGATCGCGCTTGGGGGTAGGAGTAACGGGGGCAGGGTCGTGCTGTTGAGCGCCAGAACGGGAGAGGCGATCAGGGTGGCATGTGGGCATACAGATGGCGGGGTCGTGCTGCGGGGCGCCAAAACAGGAGAGACGATGGGCGATGCCCCCGAACGTGTCCCAGATTCGGTCGGCCTGAAATGGGCTGCGGACCGCGGTCTGTTTGAGTGGTATTCAGACGAATTTGCAGACGAAGTTCACATAGATTGGTTCAACTTTGTGAAGCGGCCCTGGAGAGAAGGTGAAGAAGGTGTGCGGGCTTCGTTCTCTGTTGAGCGGGCTCCGTTCTCTGTTCGGCGGGCTCCGTTCTCTGTTGGGGCTCTGTTGTTCCCTTATGATACTCCTTTTCGCTCTTTTGCTTCGGTGAAGTGGTCTCCAGATGACAAGTGGATCGCGTCAACTGGATATGTTGAAATTGATGAAAATGATGAAAATGGGAAACCAAGCAGAGTCGGAGTTATGATCTGGAATTGGGAGACAGGTGTAACATATCGGTACCAGTGCCAATATGATGAGTTTATGGTACCACCCCATGCGCTGGAATGGTCTGACGACGGGCGACGCGTAGCCTTTGGAATTGGAAGAGAGCTTGCGATATGGGATATTGAGACAGGGGTGATGTTAAGGTATAGCACAAACAGAAACAGTGAACATCTAACGCATATTGCTTGGTTCCGGGACGGGTCGCGAATGGCGACGTTGCGTGGAAGAACGTTACTAATCCTGTCCGTGACGAGTCAAAGCGTTGTCTGCGAAAAGCAATACGATGGTGTTGAGTATCTCGAAGAGAGCGATCTGCGCCAGTTCATCGATACGAATGAGGGCAAACTCACGGCGGCGGATCTAGGGAGGAAACTGGAGAGGAAACTGAGGATTCGGCAAAAGGGAGATGGAGTGTTCTACAAGACAGGAGATGACGAAATCCGCCTAGCAACCGTTGCGGGAGATCGTTGGTACTGTTCTACTTCAGGTCGGCACATTGCGATCCAGGGAGAAGCAAAACTGTACTTTTACGAGCTCTTGGAGTAGTGTGATTGTGAGTGTGTGAATAACCACTGGGCAAAAGGGGATGTCCCGGCCAGGACAGGAGGGGTTGTACCCACGGTATATGTAGTAAGGGATGATGTGCCAGGAGAAATTTGTATGTATTTGAAGTTGTTTCTAGTTACCCGACGCCTCGATGCCCCTCTCCGCAAAAAAGTAGTCGGTACATCTTTTCTATGCGTCGCGCGCAGTTGCGTCAGTGTGCGGGGAATAGTGTCGTCCAACGTAGAGACTGCGCGTAGCGAGACCAGCAAACAAAACTGGAGGCGGAACAGGCACATACGATATCAGTCGTTGTAGTATGAAGTTCAAGATATGCACGGCGGATTTGCGGTGGTTTTCGCTTTGTCAGGTATTAGAAACTTCGTTTCCGCCAGGAAACGAAACCTTGACGACGGTGTTGACGACGGTGTTAGCGATGAGGTTGACGGCGTGTGTAGCGTCGAAGACGGGCGGTGGTCGGGAGGCTGTGGCTTGTTGGTAGTGGTGGGGGGAGCATGATGGAGCATGAAGAGGTTGTGTGAAATGGAGGTGTTGGCTTGTTTGGCCACGGGCAACTGCTCGTGCACGGACACTCTCACATTAATGTGTATTAATGTGTAAGTGTGTTGAGTGTCCCTGTTCCAACCATCTCTTAAGAGATGGTTGGAAACAGGGAGGAAGAAGACAGGGGTACGGGATACCGCCGTGGCTATCCGATCAGCACTTGTTTGTGGTTACACCGTCAAGTAGACCGAGGCCAGGCACTCTTCCTTGTGCTCGGTGGGATGGCCAGAGACGACATTGTTTCCTGCCGCGGCCATTCTTGCTCGCCGGACATTCTCACTCACCGGAGGTACGACAGTCAGAAACACGTTGCAACCTGAATGTGATATATACATGTATAGTGAAGTCCCTTCTGCAATACATTTCACATACCGTACGTGTACAAAAAATGGCGGGAGAACGAGTGTGTGTTTTGTTCACCGTCGAGGGCTTGGATGACGTTCCCTTCAGTGAGGATGAGGGTGTCGTCGGCGGAGGCGATCGGGATAGAAAGGGGGGGAAACGAGAGGGCGGCGATGGGAACGGCGGTGCACCGGGAGGGGCGAGTCTAATGGCCATTTCTGAGTTGTGAGTTGCTGCATTTTTCTTTGCTCAAGACCTTGTTTCAATTAAAAAAGCGTTTATATAATTTAATACTGTAGCGCACAAGGGCCGACTCTCAGCACCCGGCGCCTACCGCTACGTGATCAACTTTCCGTGATCAACTTTCCGTGTTGCCAAACCAAAGGCATCAACCCCTCCTCGTCCTTCTCCGGCACCTTGACGCCGTCAATCTTCGTCAAAACAATGTGATGGTCCTGCACATCCTCGGTATGCTCAATCGTGCAACTTGCCGCCACCATGCACTCTTCCTCCAGCCGTGTCCTATCCTCCTTCCCCAACGCAGCCCTCGTCACGTACCGCTCGGCAATGTCCTTCTGCCTTGTCGAAAGCGCGAACAGCCTCACGCCCGCCCCGACCCCGCCGAGCCCCGCGTAGAACGCGCTCGAGTGCCCCACATTGAAGCATATCATCCCGCGCGCCGCCGCAGGCACCGTGACGGACGTCGCCGTCATCGCCAGATCCTCCCCGTGGGCCGCGCTGGTTGACACCACCCACATTGCCGACGGTATCTGCCGCAGCAACGTTTTGGTTTGCTTGTCCAGTGGGTAGAACGGCAGCTTGGAGCGCGGTACGTCGAGTGCCACCGCGCGCTTGGCAAGGTACGTGTCTCGGTAAATCGCCTGCACGAATTCCGCCTCGCCTAGGCTCACTGCCGTTACCACCGCCTGTACCACGGCGCACCCGCCCACGACGGAGATGTTCTTCAGCGATAAGTCGGTCGTGACGCCTGTCTTGCGCTCGTCCAGCATCAGTGACGAGGATGATGATGATGACGACGTCGAAGGCCGCGGCGCGAGAAGCTCCACCCTTACCTGGTTGAGGGGGTCTTCCGCGACGAGCGACGCCCTTTTGAAAAACTCGTCATCCGTCACAAATAAGACCACCTGCTCCGGCTGCATGGAGCACCCGCGAAAGTTGTCAAGTTCAATCTCCGCCCCGTCAAACGTGCACCGGTAGTAGTTGGTCACTGTGTGGTGCCCAATATCAGCAACCGCTTGCTGCCGCTCTGCGGCGGAGAGGCCCTTCTCATCGCCGGAGCTCGTGGACGTGGAGTTGGGCTCGCTCCGCAGGGCGGGGCTGAAGATGTTTGCCGAGTAGAGGCTCTTAGCGGGTGCGTCGGGCCACGTGGCCTCGGTGCGGTCCATTGCGCAATACCCATACACGGTGTCCGGGTGGCTGTCGACGAGCTGCTGCAGAAAGGCCACGGCCTGCGGCAGGCGGTCAAACGTCATCGACGCAGTGGCGACGGATGATGGGGAGCGGAGGATTGAGGCTGGGCGCGGATGTCGGAAGGTTGGGGCATGTCGTATAAAGGTGCAGGGGATAGCGGGAGATGCGGAGGACGGAGACGCACGACCGCGCACGAAAGGCGCAAGAAGATGTCGCCAACGTACGGTATGATTGTGATAACCACTGAGCAAAAGGGGAGGTGCCGCTGACCAACGACATGAGGGAGGAATGACTGTCTGGGCCGTTCAGAGAGTCATTAGGTCTCCAACGCAAATGAAGGGGGTTTGCGCAGAACAGAACAGTGACAATTGCAGGACGACTCGGTCCTTTTGAAGGTGAGCTAAAATATGCTGTAGTGGTCTTGTCGGTGAAATGGGGGAGGCGGTTTTGGGGAGCGTGCCGTTCCGTCGTGAGGGTTGGCCGAGTCGTCCCCCCTTCCCCGCAGCGCCCGTCACCCTCTCTCTTTTATTTCTACGAAATTCCTTCCAGAAGCGTCCACGCATCCGGCCCGGATTCCGCCGGGCCGTCCGCGTGCGCTTCTCTAAAATTCAAATAAAATCTCGGACTACAGAATAAAATCTCCCTCTACAGTAAAATGCAATTTTTCCCTAAAAATATCTCACATGACCCCCTCGTCAGGGCAGACCACGGGTCTGCCGTTGCACGTAAATATACTGGCCCCGCTTCTTCGTGCGACCGCTCTGGCCCCCCCGGCCACCATCTCTCCACCTTCCACCGAACTGCACTCTCCCTGCCTCCTCGCGCCTCTTTCGCCGTCGAACTTCTAACAGTCAATTTCAAGCCGCGCTTCATCTGCGTCGCCCGAATTCCGGTTGCCCAACGTCAGCCTCGCGTCAGCCTCGGGCCGCGTGGTCTCCGCGTCGCCCGGGACTGTGGTCGCTGACGTCAATCGTCGTCTGGGACTCAGGACGCGTGCTCTGCGCGTCGCCTGAGGCTCCGTTTCCAGTCGTTCCCGTTTCGGGACTTCTCGGAAACGCTCAGCGTCTCGAGCCGCGCACGGGAGCTCTGTGGTCCTTCGGGCGGTACTCCCTGTGCGCACTATAGCTCGAACCAAGCAGACGGCGAGGGCTTCCACCGGCGGGAAGGTACCACGCCGCGCTATCGCCACTAGGGCCGCCCGCCGTTCAGCGGGCGTGCGGCGAGAGAACGGCCAGGACGTCACCGAAAGCGCGGCTCATGGCGTGAATTGCCCCTTCATCGACTTCGAAGACCCAAGTAATGCCGAACATCTCCCTGACCTTTGGGAGCACGCGGGACGTTCCAACGTCTCCGCGCTTCGGTACCAAGTAGGAGATGGTTCTTTCCGAATCAAATATAAGGAAGTGGGCAACCGGGCGTCCGTCGTAGCGGCCGTATCTGCCGCCGGGGCCCGGCTTCTCTTCGGGGCCCATGTGTTGGCCTTCGTATCGGCCCGCCTCGCTCGCAAGGCATGGTTCACCTCCGACTGCTGCTACCGGCTGGGGCTCACCGAGAGCCACAGCGACGGGACGGAGTACACCTGCTGCGACGACCCAGAGTGGGTCGTCGAATTTGTCTGGTGCTCTGATGGCGGTAACGGCGAGTTCAAGGGTTGCCACTACGCCGTCGGAGAGGGGAGTCCAGAGAAGTACATGATACTTCTCTACACGATGACCTTCGATCGCGTGCCCTCTGCGAACGGCACCGCCCGCCGGGGCTTCAACTCTTCCTTCGGTAAGGAGTGCTCAACGCGTATGGACGCTATTCTGGCTATCGACAATTGGTGTAGCCAGAATAGAGGGAAGAGGAAGCGAGTGAACTTTGCTATGTCACGCGACGTCTCCCCACTCGCTTCCCGGTACCTTTGCACGTCCCGGACCGTAGCGTTCCAAGACAATACCGTCTTGTGCATCCGGTCTGCGGTCTGCAACGCTATGTTCCTTGTCGTTGGTCGCGGTGCTGCTGACCGCCTATGGGTGGCGGAAGCGGCCCGAGTCGCCGCGTTCGAGCGTCAGATGGACTATTCCCCGAGCGTGCACCACTTTACGCACATTCAGAGGGTAATCCGAGCAGACCACCACGGAACAGTTTCTCTTGATCATGTGGCCCCACCGCCGGGGGCTTTCATCCAAGGGAGATCCAGCTCCAGACTCCCTCTGTGGCGCAGCTCTGCTGTTAGCTGGATACTTCGTCTGCCGCGGGAGCAAGCGGGTGTCTACGTTCTTCGCATCACCGACGTTAACCATCTCCAACACGCCGTCTGCATAGACGCACGGACGGAACCGGCGCTGATCTACGATTGCGCAGAACGTTTCGCCATGCAGCTCAAGGACACTTCTCTTCGCTTGTGCTGTCCCGCCGCCGATCCGACAAAGTTCCAGTACTTCAATGATGTGCGTCTCTTGCGCCGAACAACCCGGCAGCGTAGAGACGCCAATCAGAGTCCCGGCCGGGAGAGGAAATCCAAAAAGGTTCGCCGAGGAAATCGTGGTCCCAAATCCTCCCATGGCAAGGTAATTGCCGTGCGTAGGGGTTCTTCAAGCAGCAAACACTGATAGTTCATGCATAAGAAACGAAATCAATCTCAATCGCCTTCAATCTAGTACATGCGAAATATTAAAATGCATCACACCTACATCAGATGTGCGGGTTTCTGTATAAAAGGGATTAAACGTCTTGCATGTATATCCCGTCGACTGTAGCGCAATCCCGGCGACAAGAGTGTGTACCGCGGGTGCTTGGCTCGTACTACCCGGCATGGGCCGTAGTACTTCGACTCCCCTAGGGGCCACTTCTGTAACCCTCCTAGGGCTGTTCCT